ACTCTCGGCCTTGACCAGCAACTCTGCTTCAGTCTGTGAGCACACCTAACAAACTCTCCGCAGATGTGAGTTTAGCGCCTTGCAGCTTCTGTAATAAGAAGTTATGAGGCAAATGCATGCTGTCCTAAGCAATTTGAAAGGCACTCAACCCTGCATCCCGTCCTATCAGGCATGGCTCGCCATGAAGAGCATTCTGTCTGGAAACGTTTAACATACGATCAAAAATATAAAATGAAGGGGTTGAGGGAACAGCTGAGTGGTTAAAGTACTTGTTGTATAAGCATGCACACGTGAGTTCAGATCACCAGCACCCATGTAAAAAGCCTGGTGTACAATATACACACCTATATCTCAGTGCTGGGAGGAAGAGACAGGCGGACCCTGGGGCTTGCTGCCCACCTAGCTTATGAAAGAGGTGAAGTCCATGTTCAGCTAGAGACCCTAACTCAAAGATAAGATGGAGAATGATGGAGGAAGAAACTCAGCGCTGACCTCTGTCCTCTACCGTGCACTTACGGGCATGCACATATACATCGCATGGTGAATTTGCATGTGCATGTGTACATGTGTGCATGTGAGTGTGTGTATTATGTCTATGTGTATATTCTGTGTGTGTACCTGTTGTCTGTGTGTATCTGTATAGGTGTGTGCATGTGTATGCCTGTGTGTGCAGGTCTACGTGTACATGTCTGTGGGCGTGCATGTATGTCTTTGTGTGTGCGCATGTGTATGTCTGTCTGTGAAGGTCTCTGTGTGCATGTCTTTGTATGTATGTGTCTGTGTCTGTGTGTACAAGTCTATGTGTGCATGTCTGTGTGTCTGCATCTGTGTCTGTATGTCTGTGTGTGCATGTCTGTGTGTGCATGTGTGTCTGTGTTGTGTGTGTCTGTGTGTGCATCTCTGTGTGTGTGCATCTCTCTCTGTCTTTCTCTCGTGTGTGTGTGTCTGTGTGTGTGTCTGTGACTCTGTGTGTGTGTGTTTATGTGTGTATGTGTGTGGATGTGTGTGTGTGTGTGTGTGTGTGGTTTAAGTTCAGGGGCATCACAAAAGGAGCTAGAGTGACAAAGCACTAGATTGAAGGTAAAGAACCGATACCACGAAAGTTGAACTCTGCCCTTGTTCCCCTGCCCTTGGAAACCCTGAAAATGTCACTGTAGAAAACTTCAGCTTTGAGGGATGATAAACTTCCTAAAGAAATACATAAGATATGTTGTCACAGAACCCAGAACTGGTGAAACGACAATAGGAGGGACAAAAAAAAAAGTCAGGTGATTTCTGGTGGCAAGTTGAAGCAGGAGGGCTTCGAACTTCTCTTTGTATTTCCGTCTCTTTCAACTTGAAGCAATTTAACAGCCTCCAGTTTTAAGTTTAATGTGTTAAAAATAAAAACCAATTTGAGGCGCAAGATATCATATCATATTTTTGACAGCTTAGCTGGGTCTTGAGCTGAAGGACACATCTTCTGGGTCACTGCTCTGGTTGGCAGAGTCATGGATGTTTAAAAAGTTCCTTATCACCAGCCGGGAGGATTATCACTTCTTCCCTACTTACTGTGGCTACTCTTCAGTCTCCATTTTTCTTCCCTGAGCTTTATCTAACTTCAACAAGCCATATAGATGGTACAGAGGTATCTTAGATTAAGCATTTAATATAATAGAATATGTGTGTGTGTGTGTGTGTGTGTCGCACACACACACACACACACACACAGCCAAGAATGAGTTAAAATTTAAACAAAGAACAAAAGAGTAAGCAAAGAGACAAATGATAAATGAAAAAAATCTCCCAGAGCTGTTTATGTGTATAAACCAGTTCTGAGCCTTTTATAAGCAACATCAAGAAGTAAATAAATGATAGTTTGCTCCTAGCTAGATTACAAAAATCCACATTGCTAGTAACATTTCAAAAATATATCTTCGCTTTCTGAGCTGATTTTGAACAGAAAACCGAATAATCAAGAGTCCAAACAGTAAAAGACGTGGAGAGCGGTGAGTGTAGCTTCCCAGGAACTAATTACAGCATAGCTGCCTGCGATGAGCTGTGATCGCTCTACACCACGATCCAGCTACACCCTGGTCTCCAGCATCCAATGCTACCCCATGCTGTGGTGAATGTGTGTTTGTATGTATGTGACTATGTGCCATCAGAATAGAAATCTTCATGTCTTGTCCAGGCTTTTCCTGATGAAGCCATATCAAAGTGCTACGGTTTGGCCATTCTGCCATTCCTGCGTCACTGAATGAGAGGGAAGACAGAAAAGGTCACCTCTCATCCAGGGTTATTGTGTGTATGGTGCTTGCCCGTGCATGGGTGCATGTGGGAGGGGGGGGAGTGTGTGTGTGTGTGTGTGTGTGTGCATGTGTGCACTTGTGTATGTGCAGGCCTGTGGAGGCTAGAGGTTGATATCCAGTCTGACTTCGATCGCTTGTTGTATAGATTGAGACCCGGTTCCCCTTTCCCACATCACAAGGCTCTGGGGACTTCACTTCACTTCTGGGGCAGTGGGATTACAGGTGACTCACCACATCTGCTCAGCATTTCCATGGCTGCTGGGAGTCTGACCTCCACGCTTCATGCATGCTTTGTGTGGCAAGTACTTTACCCACTGTGCCATCTCTCCAAGAGCCCTTGCTCCTCACTTACCCCTAGAACTGAGCCCCTCCCCCGACACACACACACACACACACACATACACACACACACACACACACACACACACACACACACATCACTTCTCCTTTCCTGCCTCCTCTCCTATTTCTTCTCCTATTGTCTAATCTGTGCTCCTTGCTTTCAACAGGTGACCTCATTTCTCATTTCCACGGAGAAAACATGCAAAACCGACTCTCCCTGTCCTAACACCAAATCTCCCCACTTACCCCTGTCGCCTGGACACCCTGTCTCTCCTCTGCCTCTCCTCTGTTGCCAGCAATGCTGTGGTTCACTGAATCCTACCAGTCCTCTATCATCCTGCGATGGTCCCTCATCCCCCACGTCACCAGCTTTTTTGTGTTGGGTGTTGAGTCACTCCCATGGGCACACAGAGGCTGTGAGTGTCCTCCAGACCATCTCTTAAGAGCAGCCACACTAGTGTTCTGTGGTCCTCTCTGCCTGCTCTTCTCCAAGTAAATCCTCGGATACTAATAACAACATCTTTAACTGGTTTCCTTTTTAACTATGAGTGGCCTCATTACCTTCCTTCTCCATGACATGGAGTCCAGCTCCTGGATCCATGAAGAGACTCTGCCACACAGTCACTCGCCCAGGATGTGTTAGCAACCTCTTTCAACAAAGTCTGCTTCTAGACCTGGCGTTATCGTATGAGTAAGAACGGAAGTTATCAAAATCAGATAAACAAAGAGATAGAGATTAAAATGAGTATAAGTTGTGGTTGTTCAATTTCATCTATTGATATGTGCAATGATTCCTCACGATGCCTCAGATTCTTTTAAAGTCAAAATATTATCTTAAAAAAAAATAAAAGAATTGGAGATTCTTTTGTGGGGAAAATTTAGAGACTGCCACAGCGGTGGGGGGCCCGGAGGGGCTTCCACGATGCATCGGGTCCCACATTCGGGAGGAACCCTATGGTTCCAGCGGCCTGGAAGCTTTGGCGGCGCAGGCCCCAATGACAGGAGGAAGTCTTTGGTTCCAGAAAGATTTATTGTCATGGCGGATGGTGGATGGATCTAGGTGTACCCCCCAAAACTCAGGGCAGTCCCGAGTTATATAGGGAGGGAGAAAGGGGGAGGATTGGGGGAGGCTCTGGGGGAGGCATGCTTAATTTGCTCTGCCCTCTGGCCTTCATTAGTATGTAAATCCCTAGGGCCTGAGGCCTATAGTCTGGCCTATGTGACTGAACAATGTAATTCTATGGAGACAAGACTGCTTTTTAGGACCCTGGATTCTGGAGGGCACCGAACTCCTCCTGGTTCTCACGCAGAATCCCATCCAGAGTCTGCAGAGTCTCGGGGTTCTAGACACCTGCTCAACCATGACCCAGGATACCCTTACGCAGTCCCACATTCTTTCAGTATTTTTAAAGATAATATTTAGACTTTCTAAAAAAAAAAAAAAAAAAGAAGAAAAAAAAAAGCATTGAAAGGTAATTGGGAATGGGGTAGGTGCCCGCTGCTCTGTCTTGCTAGGCCAGCACTCCTTGGGACTGTTCTTTGATAGAAATCCATTTGAATTGCAAGAGAAAGACAGGAATGTGAGCCTGTGATGTGTCGACAGGAGCTCTGTATCCTCAGCCGTTTTCACTGTCTTCTTTAGTCTCTGTAAATTCACAGCATGACTTGTAATGCATTTGTGTGGGGTTTATTATAAAATAGTATGTATGCACTTCAAACCCCGACCAGATATTGGGAGGCTAGGGAAGATGTGCTAGAAAACATATTGAGGATTCTCTGATTAAAGTGGAATTCCCAGCATCTTCAAGAAATGTATCATAGGAGCCTAGGCTCCTAAGGCAGGGGATTGGGCTTCTGTGACCCAGGGAGGGGTTGGAAATCATGTAAACGGGATAAATCAGAAGGGGGCAATACTGCCCTGGGGGGGGCAATACTGCCCTGGGATTCTGAGAAGAAGCCAACACTTGAGAAATGTTTGATAGCAAATGGAGAGGAAGCAGGCTAAGCTGAAGCCAGGTTAGCCAAGTCAGACAGTTTGAGTCAGGTGACATTCAGAGAAGCATCTTTGTCTTGAACATCACGTAAGGGCAGAGCAAGTCGGCATGGAAGCCATTTATTTAATATTGGGGGGGGGGGAAGCAGACAAAAACCGCCCACCTTCCTAGCCAGGCTGTCTGGAGGAAGGAAGAGGTGTGTCTTCAATTCCCATTCCTCTGGGTTAACCCTTGGTGATGTTCGGAGTTCAGTAATCTCTTCTGACACCTGCAGAAATGTTTTGCAAATTCAAATGCTTGGAACTCTGCAGAGTCGGGAGGTGAAGCATCACCGTGCCTTCCCTGTTTAATACGAGTGTGATGTCTTTTGCAGGATGGATGGTCACAATATCACTTTGTAGCCTCATCTTCAACCATTGAGAGGGATAGACAAAGGCCCTACTCCTCCTCCCGCACACCCTCCATCTCTCCTGTGCGTGTGTCTCCCAACAACCGCTCAGGTAAGACACAGCCCTGACCTTGGCTTCCTCCTGAGCCAAGGGACTCTCCCAAGCCCCTCATCTGGGCGCCACACTGAGAAGAGCTGTCTGGCTTGTACACTCTGTAGTATGTTCCGTTGTGGTGGCAACTCTGTTGGGTTCTCAAAGACTGAAAACCAGTCTCTACTTCCCTTGCTTCCTGTCTGTGGAATGTATCATCTCCTCAGTTAGGAGGGGGTATAAAGGAAGCAGGCAGGAGTACACACACCAGAGTTCTGTGAGTGTCTCTAACTATCTCATATCCCCAATTTACTGATTACAACCTATGAATCATCAATAAATTTGTATCGTAACCAGCTTTAATTCATAATTTTTCTCTCATTCTGCCAAATCTCCAGCACTTAAATTTTGATCTCAGTTCTTTCATTTTTAGAATACTTTATATGATTCTCCAGTCGTTTTGAATAATCCCAAAGATTAGGTGGATGTGAAAGGTAAATACATATGTTATTTATTAACATAAGCGCCTTGTTGTTCTCTTCCTCAAAGTATCGGGTCTTAAGCTCATCTTTCCCTGTCTGGTGTTTAGTTTTCTTTAACTGGGGAATGAATGAAAACTAAGTAACCAGGTGTTCCACTTGTGTCAGGTCCCCTGTATCTCTTATTGTGACATCATCCTCTTCCCTTCCCTGCCCCACAGCCCCCACTGAGGAAATCCTCTTCTTTGAAACAACATCTTGGAAGGCTGGATAGAAAAATCTGCCCAGCAGAGAGGCTTTTGTGCCTCTGAGGATAACTGCCCTTAATCTGTTACACCAGACTTACTGCCACAGGGTTGAGGAAAAGCAGACAGAAAGTTTCAGAGAGATCAGTTACCCTCTCCAAACTCCATGACAATTTTAGTTCATGATATGATAGTTCTTAGGACATTTGATCCAACTGTAGACAAGAGTCAGGAACTCTCTGTAATGTGGATATACACAGGTGGGCACTGACGCTTCTAACTCTACAATTTTGAAGACTTAAAGAGGACCTGGGACAGAGAAGAGTGGCTGGTTAACTCTAACCAGGAGCTACAGTCAGCCAGTCAGGGTCTGGGAGATGAAGTGAGAGAGGAGATGGGAAGTTGTTGGGATATGGAAAAGCCATCTCTGGAGTAGGCAGGCAAGGGCCAGCATGAGGATCTGTTCAACAAGTGTTCTGCCTCGCAATTTCCTAGGCCAGGCACATCCAGACACCTAATAAACATTTGTTCGCATGATTTGATCTTTCCTGGAGCTTAATCCTGATTTACTGGAGACTCAAAGCATCACCATGTGCAGGGTCTCAGGAGATAATTACACACTTCATGTAGCTTAATAAACACCGCCATCTGTGCAGTGTTAGGCTCTCATTTTAAAAGCTTTGGTCAAAGACCTCTAGAATACTGTGCCTTCTTGATTGATAGTGTTGAATCCTTAAATGGCCAGGTTCTATGCAAGGATACCCAGGGCCAGAGGAACAAGGACAGAGGAAGGACTTTCCCAGAAGGAAAAGGTTAAGCAGAAGAGAGAGAGGGTGGCTGGGTATGGAAGTTCTACCCAAGAAGCTGAGGAGACAAGAGTAGGCAGGTGTGCACTGGGCACCGCTGAGCCGGGACAAAGCCCAGGCTGATCTTGCCATCCTTTAAGCTCAGGATCCTAAGACACCAAAAATGCAGAGCCCTCTCACAGCATTCCTAGTGTTTCTCCAGCCTAAAATGAACAACAGCCCTCTTTCCCTCACCTGCATCATCCCCTGTGTAGCAGGGAACTATACGCTGGGTCAGATCATTGAGATTTCAACTGTCCCCATGAGAGATGAGAAGACTGCAGGTTGTCCTGTCCAATGCTCATGGATTTCCACTGGGTGCTTTGACCCAACCTGTATTGCTTGTGTCTCAGGCATCTATATTTAATGAATTTGGGGCATTATTTCTTATGTGAAGTCAGAGTTGGAAACCTCCAAGGGCCACGAGAGCTGAGCAGTGAGCCTTGGTTTCATTTTGGTCAGTTTGGGACACCGTGAGGTTCTTTCCGGACAGCCGAACAGCACCTCTGTTTGTTTACTCTCCCAGAATTTGGATGAGATTTATGAACACTTCCAACACTGATTCTGATGTATTTGCTCGTCTGTTCCCCTCTATCACTGGGATTCCCCAAGTTTAGCAAGCACAGTTCACATCTCTGCCTCCTGCAGCGTCTGGCACAGAGATTTGCACACAGAGTTTACTAAATATGACAGAATCCAGGGACTCACATGGTGGGAAAACGTACGTCAAGATACGAGCAAGCCCTGCATGCTGCAGTCGAGCAACAATGCACAGGACACAGATGATGCTCTAAAGATAGATTGAAGCTTGGATGGGAAAGTGGCTTAGATGCCAGCAAGGAGGGCTTTATGTTAAAAACCAGTTTAAAAAAAAAAAAAACACAGCCTTATTCACCAGCAAGTATGCTTGTCAAGAGTGAATTCCAAGACCTTTCCGTGGATAACTCAAATATAAAACTAAGTAAATAAAAAGGATTTGGAGCAGAACCCCTAAACGCTCATCAGATGTTTGGGTAAAACAAGATAACAGAGCGTTGCCCTGGGGTTCAGGAAGTCAGAGAAGATGGAAGATTAAAAACCACCCTGGCTGAGGTCCTCATACTGTATGTGATGTTTGCATCATGGTAGGAACAGGCCTGGCCAGCACCCCGGGGCTCCTTACCGTTGTCTGCCAAGCCACCCCTTTAACTGTGGCTTCCATGTTTCTGGTGCCAATTTACTTAAAAATAAAGAAACAAAGAAAGAAACAAACACCATGAAATTTCCCAGGGAGTCCTTTCTATAATTATAACCCATCTCTTTTAAAAATAGCAACATGGCCGATGGTGAGGTAGATCCCTTGTGGCCAGCAGTCAACAAGCAGCCAAAATGTAAGGGGTATGCGAGACATTATTGACACAGTCACCCCAAGAGCTGAAGCCGAAATGCCCAGTTAGGAAAAACAGCATTCTTCACACATACCCCAGGTTACCCGGAGAAGAGCCTGGTGGGTGTCATGGGCTCAACCTCACAGTTCCCTCACGTGGAAGGTCCTGCTTTCATCTATCATAAGGCAGCTGCTTGGCAGCTCTGAGTGGAAGTCAGATTGTATTTCTTTTCATCGGGGAGTTTTCAATGTCAACATGGTCTAATGTCCTTTACTCAAATGACTGGGACCAGAAATGTTTCAGATTGCTCATTTTAAAAATACATATATTTAGCTTGAAATAATTTCATACGTAGCATGGAGACATCTTGAGCAGAGAACACAAGTCTAAACACAAAATGTGTAAGTTATTTCGAGGGCTCTGATTGCAGCCTGTATTATGAGGTAGGATACGTGGAATTTTCCACCTCGGTTATCATGTCAGCGCTCAGAAAGTTCCAGACTTCAGAGTGTTGGTGCTCAGGGTTTACAAATTAGGGATGCTCAAACTATCACAGTTCCTTTGAAGCATATCTAATTAAAAAAGAACGGGAGGGGGAGGGGGAGGGGCAGGAGAATGAACTTGAAAGACCAGTTTTGTTCGTAAAGCTCTGGTGAATGCCTAGGGAAGCTATATCTCCGACATCTCTCATGATCCCGGGGCATAATTCTTAGTTGCCTGCCTCCAAGTCAAACTGTCCCACTTATGATAAAGCAGCAGCTGCCATGGACTGAGGGACAATGGTAAGAACAACGGCCCCCCCAAAAAAGTAAAGAAAACCTAAGCAATCCAGGGACCCATCGTGCCGTATGTTGGGCCGTGTGTATTTGTGAAGTTAACTGTATCTGTGGGAAGCCATGCATGCCATGAAATGAGACCCAGAAAAATAACCTTTCTCGTGTGTTTATGTAGCAAGTGCCCCAGCTTCACCTCGGGAAATGATCAGCCTCAAAGAAAGGAAGACGGACTACGAGTCCGCTGGCAACAACGCCACTTACCATGGAACTAAAGGAGAACACACCTCCAGAAAAGACACCATGACAGGTGAGCACAGTCATGTGTGTGAACAGGGCCAACTCTGAGGCCAGGACTTCAAACAGTAAACTGCACCCTGTAGTCTGGAGGCCTGTCAGAACACTTGAAATTTTGATAGTACCAGGAACTGGAAGTAGGAGACAGGACCTGCACAGGACTCCTATTGAGGTCATTTCTTTTCTTCCGATGATGCCAGTCTCTTACCCAGCAATCCCCAGGAAGCTTCCAGAGAATGATTAGCTTTTGTCTTCTTCTCTGTCTCAGTCAGGACCGTGGTCTTTCCATCCCATCCACTGGAACTCGGGGAGGCCAAAGCTGATACATTTGTGCCTGCTGGATCCCCTCCTAGAATGTTTTGCTTACCCTGGCTTTTAGTAGGTGTTACCTTAACTCCCTATTTCCTTTGTACAGTTTTTCTCGGGCACTTACAACTGTCTTCCGGTCTGCATCCACCTCTGCTTCTCTAAGTATGTGGGTAAGAGATGGGACACAGGAACCAGGACTCGGGAGGCTCCCGTAGGGGGTAAAACTAGACTCCCTGAGCTACGTGACCTTAATAGGGAACTTTAAACACATTTTTCCCATGTGGACATAAATATGGGTCCTTCCTGAAGATAGGCCATGAGTAATGGCCAATAAGAGAAGATCAAATCATTGATAAAACTGGGGTGCAAAGAGCATAACCATAAAGAGTCACAGAGACGCTCTCACCCCAGTACCCTCAAAAGCACGGGTCACGGGTCGCTGATGTTATTTATGCACAGACCTGCAGGGAAGCAGGGTAGACAAATTGGATGATTTATTAAACGTTTCCAAACCCAGGACAGATAAGATAAATTTTTGCAATAACAAATGTATTTACCCCAGCAGCAGTGCGTTCTCTGTTAACCCTGCACAGCTGCATAAGGAAACACGCGCTAGACAGATGTGTTCTCATCGGCACCCCCAGGTCTACCTTCTGCCTCCACGTGCAGGCCCCACTGAGGCACATGTCACCCTTGATCCTGAAATGCCCCTTGAGTGAGAGAAATGAATTCACTTTACCACCTCAGCTCTCTGCCTGCCCCATAAACATTCCTGTAGCATCACTGGACATGGACCAAGAAAGTTGAGACTCTGAGTCCCGAATGCAGAGGTGCCAGCAGAAAATCTAATGCATACTGATTAGCCTGAATTAGTTGTGAGAGCAAATTCATCTGTCCAGTCTGGCGTATAATTATTACTGCCCCAGGTAGCCACAGCACTGGAATTCTTGGATGACAGATTGATATTATAGTTACAAGAATAATTGTAAGAATGATGGTATTCCCATCACTTACGTTCAGTGTTGCTCTTAACTCTCCGGCCCCATAGAGTCATCCCAAAGGCTCTTAAGAGTAATATGTTCATATTGAAATGTTTCTAGTGATGCATAATTTTGCCCACACACCTAGTAAAATAAAACACAGAATGTATTGTATGCCTAACATCCCTCCTGCCTAGCGAATGGCCACGATCTTGACAACTCAGCTATTGAGATGTATGGAATTCTTTAAACCTACTTAGAGGCTCAAACGGCTTAGCTCTGACTTACCCTGGGAACTCGATTCAGACCAACGCCATCAGTCATGTAGACAAGCTAGAAGAAATCCGTGTTCTTCTACTGAATCTGTTTACATAAGGAAGTCCTTCCCAAGTTGGCAGGTATTTATATAAAAGCTGGTGCTATCGATGGTAGTGGCCAGGGTGATGGAAGCAACAAGGGGCATGGAAGTGACAGAGAGATGGTGGGAGCAAAGAAAAGCTGAGGTGATGTGAGGATGGAAATGAGGGATGTGGAAACAAGGATGGTGGTGGTGGAGAAGCAACTGGGGGGATGGTGAGGGTTGATTTGGTAACGAGAGAAGCAGAGGTGGTAGCGGTGGTGGTAGTGGTGCTGGTGGTGGTGGTGGTGGTGGTGGTGATGATGGTGGTGGTGGTGGTGGTACTGGAGGTTGTCATGGCAATGAGAGAAGGGGACCTGACTGTTCTGATGAGCTTGTGGCCCTGATAGTGGGGTGTTTCATTAACAAGTAGTAGAGACAAAGGTGTTAGCAAGGCTGGTAGATGGTGGAGGCCCAGTTCCATGACCGGGTGTCAAGGGCAGAGGTGAATGTGTCAGTACTGACGGAGGTGAAGTGAGTGTGACAAGTGTGACAGAGGTGCTGGCAAGGACAAAAGTGGAGGGTCTGCGTAATGATCCTGAAGATGGTCATCGCCTCCTTCTGTCAGTGATGTGAACTGAGTCACTGGACAAGTGCCCCAAAAACATCACACTGCACAGATAGGCTGTTTCACCAACTTCCCTGCCAACAATGGAAAGTGCCGTTCATTCAAGAATTGACTCATATAGTCAGTTTTCTTAAGATCTCCATATCAAAACAAGTCTATTCTTATTTAAGATTAAATACAAAGTGTGTTAGGGTTTAGGGGAGGAAACCTCAGGTGTTTCCATCTTTCTTGGTCCTGGGACAACAGTGATGTCTTGCCATTCCCCAGTAGAGACAGTCTGTCTGCTGTGGGAAGGGACTCCCCCTCCCCACACTCCCCTGCTGCCCTCAAAGGCAACATTGGAAAGCCAGTGTCGGACACATTTCTTTGCCTGTGCTGTCATCCCAGGCTTGGCTATAAGTCCAGGTCTGCATGGATTTTCATCCCAGTCCTCCTGTTTTCCTCTTCTGCATCCCTTTTCTGCTTGGTTCCTGTCTCTGAGAACACCATCTCCCCTCTGCTACCGAGGGGCCTTCAGAATCCCAGGATCAGCTGTGCGCTCGAGCACTCAGATCCTGGCAGCTCTGGTTGCCTAGGAATCTCTTATGTGCCACCTGATCCCTGATCGAACAGCCTAACTTTTAAGTTTATCTGGGGAATCTGTCTTTCCATACGAACTTCCCTTTTTTATCAGTTGTTTTTTGTCGATGCTGTTCATTGTGTCGATGTCTGTATGCCTTTTAAAGCCAGTGTATTCCTTTCTGTTAGAAATTGAGTGTTTAGGGAATCACACACACACACACAAAAGAAAGGTGCTTCTCTATGAAGAACATCCTTGAGGCCCTCCGCTTTGTATGCCTGTGAATGTTGTTCACTCTCAACCAGAGGCTCTTCTACAAAAGCGAGTAGGCCAACAAGCTGAGGGCAGAACTTCCAACAGAAACATCCTCTACTTAAAGTCCAACAATACAACATGGAAAGACGCTAAGGTTGCAACAGTACAGATGCTCCAGCCCCCTAAAATGCATTATTCCAAACAGGAAAGACCAGCCTTTCACCTTGACCTTGCAGGGACACTTTTATCAGCATGTTTTTGCTGGGCAGTTAGATAAATTTCCATGGTTCTTGCCTTAACTCATCCATTCCATAGTTTTATCTCTTGTCCCGTGAAGGTCCACAGAGACCAGGTGCTATCCCAGAGACACACAAACAGAGGACACAGGACCTATTTTTTTTTTCTGATTTTATGGAGCATCTGTTCTAATAGACAAAGGCCAGCAGTAAACAAGGTCGACAATGAACAAGCTCTCCGACTAGGTAACATCACATGATGCTGAGTATGATGAGGGACCAAACAGATACTGAGACAGAGTAGACAGGAGACCAGGTAGAAAGGGCAACTTTGCATGCCATGGACAGCAGGGAGATATCTCAGCTGATAACTGAACACCAACCAGATCAGAGAATCAGGGATAAAGGGAGATTTATAGGTACAATCTCCCTAAATGAACACAACCTTGACTCACTCCATAGAGCAAAGAGGAACAGGGTGTCTAAGGCTCTGTAACAAGAGAGGGTGGGTGAGGAAAAATGGCAGGAAGTGAGATGAGGGGAGATTATCAAGCAGAGAGAGTGACATAATCCAATCTATAAGACAGAAGGATACCCCTAGCTGTGGAAGATTGGTGAGTAGAGAAGACAGGACAGACAGGATGTTGGGACCACGAGTAAGATTCCATGATCCAGGAGAGAGATTGTCTCCATAGTAAGATAGATGGGTGAAATGTGTTTGTAGACAGAGAGCTATCAGAGTGGTATAAAACTGAAAATGAGAGTCTGGGTAGATTGCTCCATGAATAGAAATGTCTTTCGCAAGCCTGGGAACCTGAGTGTGACTCAGATGCTCATGTAAGGAGCCGGGCATGGCTGCGTGTGACCAGAGGCGCAGAAACAGCAATCTCGGGAGTGCTTCATAGCCAGCTCTTCTAGACAAGATGGTGAGATGCCACTGTGGCAAGGCTGTAAGGTGGAGAGCAAGAACAGACAACGTCTGATGTTCTGCTCTGTCCTCTACACATGCCATTCATAAGCGAGGGTACACATAGACACACTTCCATATGCGTGCGACACACATGGGAGGCAGAGAGATGTCCAAAGATGAGCTCTCTCTCGACCTCACTTTCTAAGCAATATCTTCCAAGGTTTTGATTACTATATGCCTTTAGGCAATAATGATAGCAATGAGAGATATGAAGTTAACCCTTGGTAGGCTGTCCTGATTGGGTGTGACTGATTCTAAGAGAGTGGGTATTATATACATTTCATTATTCTCAGGTCTTGGAAGCCAGAGATATTTTCAAATATTTTTGTGTCCTGTTGGCCCCAGACAAGTAGTATTTTCCAGACCTTTCTTAAACCATGACCTTTTAGTATATGTCAGAAGAATAGTGCCCTCCATCTGGGCCTATGGCATGTACCTGCAAGGTACCAATTGATGAAATGGGTACCTCTTCTAGAAGCACAACGTCTTCCCTCCTCTCACCTAGATGCCAGGCACATGAGAAGATGGACTCTGTCTCTGTACCTAACCGGATTCTGAAGCTCCCCATTCCCTCCACTACCAGGTGTGCACAGAATGTAGAAATGGTGCTGTCCGCATGGCCTTCAGGCTTCTGAGAATGAACTGTCTAAAAGATGACCAAGCATGTGTGTGCACTCAAATTAGAAATTACTTTCTTGTCATTCTCCAGCTAAAAGCAGGAGCTGCTGATTCAGGCTCCTGCATGCTCCAGTGCAGGTGACAAGCTTTTATTATCCTTTGGTTTTTACCAGGAAAGAAGGCAATAAAACTTGCAAGATGACCATCTGTTAGCCACACACACCCTGACCCTGTCCACAATGTGAACATTATTAGAGTAAGCTGACAAGCTAGGGGAGTTTCTAGAGTGGTTTCTCTTCTTTCTGAATATGGAGAAGGAGATTCAGGGACAAAGAGATCCTTCCACTTGGGACACTCTATGACAAACCAAGCTGTACCAGGCCAAGAACCTGCCTCGGTACCCATCATTCCACCCTCAGAACCTAGCCTTCATTGCTAATAATTTTGTTTTCCTTTTCCTTTAGCTCAGAACACTGGAGTTTCAACTTTGTATAGGAATTCATACGGTGCACCCGCTGAAGACATCAAACAGAACCAGGTAAAGTGCAGGCAGTACGTTTTTATTCTTGCGCCGAGTGACTTGTGTGGCCTAGAATTCTAAATTGGTCTTTCAAGGAGTAAATCTATCTCATGTTCATCCAAACACGTGCTCATGGCGTGGTGGCAGGGTTTAAATACCCCCCGGCTTCAGAGCAACCCATGGTTTCACTGTCACCTCCTGCCTGGCAGTAGAAATTAGGTGTCACCATTAGGTGCTGTCATGGTTTGGGTGTGGTATACCCCAGAGGTTCATGTGTGGGACATATGACCTTCAGTGTGGCAGCATTTAGGAAGAAGGACCTTTAAGGAGGAGTCTGGTGGAAGGTTGTTGGCAGCATTGACTCTGAAAATCACTATGAGTAGTTCCCATGAGGCCCACGGTTAGCTTTCTCAGGAGATGATCCCTCTCTCCCATGGAGATTCCCATCTCCAGGTTGTCTCTCTTTCATGCATGCATGCATGTACGATAGCCAGCCCGAGCCCTCTACCATGATGTCATCACCAGGATGATCCAGTGCTGACATCATGCCCTTGAATATCTGGAACTGTGAGATAAATAGTCCTCTTTCCTTGATAAAGCTACCCAGCCTCCGGTATCCCCTGATACTGATGAGAAATAGAATACGTGTGGGAGCTGAAAGAAAGCCCCAAATGGACCACTGTAAGATGCTAATACCTAAAGCAGAACTGTCTGTTGATTGAGCAGGGACTGAGTAGCTTTATTACCCAGTCGCCTGTAATTAACACAAAAGGTTTTCATTACACATGATATTTACCAATAACAGAAACACCACCATAAACAACTAACTACTCTGAGTCTCTGTTTGCTTTATTTGGGCATTTTGACCACTTCTGTAGGGACTGTAAGAGCAGAGGAGGAGCTGGGCCTCCTTGATAAATGGTCATATGTTGACCCCGCTCCTATGATGGGCATCAGAGCAAGTCTGACTCTTTGTCCTGTTTTCTACTAGTCATCTTCACCAAGGCTAGCTTCTGTGGGTGCCTTACAGTCTTGTCACACGTCAGAAAAGTTACACAGAGATGAGTAACCAAAACCTATGCACCTAATTGCAATGCCCAGGTGTAGGAAAGTGTGATGTAGGAAAGCTTCGGAATAAAACCAGCACCCAGCGTAGCGTCCGAATCCCCATCTAGAAGGTGGACGGGACTGTACAGTCTCGTGTCTAAGGAAAGGTATGAGAACGCTAAACTGTCCTTGAACTTAAATTGGTTTTCGTGTCTAATCAACCACTAGCAGGATACATGATCCTTAGTAGAGGAGTTAACCTCTTCTAATCCTCTGTTTGCCGGTTTATGCACACCATTCTGGAAGCCATCTGGTGTTGTTGTAACCCCGTGAATGCTATGGTCCAAGTGCCTGCCTGGCATATTGCTAACAGCTAACTGCCCCCTCTCATTTTGGGCTCTGCTAACGTCAAAAAAAAAAAAAAGCCAGTGAATAAATAAATAAACTGGGTCCTAAGTGGTAGACAGATCAGCAGGGTGGCTTCAACTATTTTCTTACCAGGAAACATGCCTACGCCTACATGTAAAGAAAGGAATGAAGAGAGATATCAATTTTATTTTATCAACTTTACTTTTTTCATTTAGCAAACATCATGAAATTCTGTAGCTACAGGGAAGAAAGAATCTCCAGCTCTCAAAGAGGTTTGTAGGGATGAGAGGAGTCTCTTGATTTTTTTTTTCAGCCAAGAGTACAGGATTAGCCTTAAGTTGAGCAGGTAGTGAGACACTCACAGCAGAAGCAGCACATTCCACAGCCGCCTTCCCATCTGTGCAACCCTGCTGTGCTTGGTAATAAAAGCACACTCTAGGTGTAGCCCCCGGCATGGTCGGCATGTCATGGTGTGACTACGGTAGCTCCAAAGACTGTTCCCTACATTTATAGAACAGTCCATAATGTTCTCAAAAGCATATTTTTAAGAACATTCTGAGCTTTTATGAAAATTAGAACTAAGATTTGCAAAGTACCAGAGAGCAGACACTTGACCTGGGCCAGGTGTGGTTCCTCCGACTCATGATCCCAGCACTCAGGATGCCTTTACTCTTAGTTCAAAGCCAGCCTAGGCTACATAGTGAGTTCTAAGCCAGACAGGGCTATAGCATGAGAACCTGACTTGCCTCTAAACCAAGCAGTCACAGTGAAGGGGCAGCAGCAACCAACCTTAGGAGGTGGGGTCTCCAGGACAAGGCAGAGGACAGCAGTGCAGAGAATTGTGCATGAGTGCCAGCACATGGCCTATCAGCTAGCATGGTGGCCTAGGGCAGCAGCCCTGAGCCACTCTTCCTGTGACTCCACAGAAAAGAAGCCAGGCTCCGGGGCACAGTTCATGTGACTCGCAGAAAATCTATGCACATCTTCAGTAACTTATGTTTGTAGTCTCCTAGGAGACACAACCAACAGTGTAAAGTCAATGACCCTTGGCTTTAGCCCTGGGGTGACAGGTCACATACACTGCATGACATTTACAGGTCACATACATTACTGTCACACTCTCTGCAAGTCCTAGTGAGCCTCTACTCATCAATCCCATGTTTATAGATGCAAATATCTCTAACTGCAAAAGGGGTCCATGTTTTGATGACTGGTACTCAGAGTTACACCTAAACCATGACCATAAGTTCTTTTATTGGTGTCCTGAGTCCCAATCTCAGATTAAAAAAAAAAAAAACCAGGGATAATTGTCACCAGAAACGGAGAAATGATTATCTAGAGACAGGGTTCACCTTCAACCCTCTAGCTGTGGAGAAGCAGACTCAATGTGATTCTTTTGTCTCTATGTTCAATTTCCCATCTCTTGCCTCAGTGACTTTCAACTCTGGGCATGAGACCCATACACACCCACATTTCTCACCCCTCCACCCCACCCCATCCCCTAGTGCTAAGAAACTATAACCTTGTAGACACCCAAACCAGACTTTCTGATTCAATAGGTATGGAATTTAGCCCAGTAGTTTACATCTTGGACAGCTTGCTGCTGCTGTGACCACATTGAGACCCGAGAGATGGAATAAATGGAAGCCCTTACCACTTGACCCATGTCATAAATGCTCTGAATCTTCGGTTTTCCCTGAACGGAAAATTCTAGCAATCTTTTGTTAGCAGCTATTTTTCCTGTGTTCAAAATAAATCTAGTTTGATAGTCCTCTTGATCTTTTTCATTCTGGTGCTGTAACAAAATGCCCGAGGCTGGGTGCTACATAAAGGAAATAAGTTTATTTAGCCCTTAGTTGGGGAAGCTGAAGATACAAGATAAAGGGCCCCATCTGTTCATTCCCTGGTAAAAACTGCCCAGACTCCACAATGTAGCTGAGAAGCAGAAAGCGGAAATGGTTACTACACAGAGGACCAAGCATGGGTGGCCTCACCTTACAAAATCCCTCCTTATGGCGATGAGCTCATTCTGCATGCTCGGCATCAGGACGCCCTAAAGTGGTACCTCTGTGACCCACTGGGCTCCTGTGCTTTTTACATTATTGTTTGTCTTGTTATAGAGAGGTGGTCAATCTCTGGAAGCCCAGGCTGTCCCAGGATTTACAGTGATTCTCCTGCTTAACCATCCCAAGTGTTGGGGTTATAAGCTAAGCTCAAGTGCCTGGCATAGACCTCATCACTTACAGATACCACTGCCTCAGCATCCCCACATTATGGGGGAAGAGGGAAGAGAGGGAAGGAAGGAGAGAGGGAGGGAGGGAGAGAGGGAGAGAGGGAGGGCTGAAGAGGGAGAGCCCAGGAGGGAGGGCTGATGAAGAAGGACTAATGAAGGAGGGCTGATAAGGGAGGG